GGCGGGTGTGGACCCCGAGTTCCCTGACTGAGTTTGCTGGTGCTGCTGGTGCCCCTCTCTTAAGCCCCCTCGGTAGTGCGAGTTAGTGGCCGGCAGCTCTGCAGAAGCGTCCCGGAAACTCTTAGCTAAAGAGTGGTTGTGCTTTCAGGTGAACGAAAGGCTCCCTTTTGAGTCCTTGGTTGTCACTAGTTTACAGTTACCCAGAGTAAAAAGGTGAGAATAAACTCTGCAAACCTGGAACCGGCTAGCCCGGCTCCAGCTCTTACAACGGTGTCTGTCAAAACAAAGGGCAGTATGTTGTTCTTTTTGTTTTTTTGTGTAAGCTCCCTTGAAAAGTGACTCATCATCACCCGTGTTATAATGTTAAAGGTTTAGTTCAGATAATTTTCGGACATCTCCTGTAGAATGGCGAGATGAACGCTGGAGTGGAGCATCTCCCTTATGAGGAAAGGCTGAGGGAGCTGGGTCTCTTTAGCTTGGAGGAGAGGAGGCTGAGGGGCGACCTAATTAATGTTTACAAATATGTAAAGGGCGAATGTCAGGAGGATGGAGCCAGGCTTTTCCCAGTGATGCCCAACGATAGGACAAGGAGCAATGGGTGTAAGCTGGAACACAGGAGGTTCTGCTTAAACTTGAGAAAAAACTACTTTACAGTGAGGGTGACAGAGCACTGGAACAGGCTGCCCAGGGAGGGTGTGGAGTCTCCTTCTCTGGAGACATTCAAGACCCGCCTGGACGCCTTCCTGTGTGATCTCATTTAGGTTCCTGCTCCGGCAGGGGGATTGGACTGGATGATCTTTTGAAGTCCCTTCCAATCCCCAACATTCTGTGATTCTGTGAGTGAGTCCTTTGCATCCAGACTTACAGCCATTCCCTGCAACAGTCGGTTTGATTCGAGCTTGTGTATCTCCATCTACTGGTTGGAAGTGAGTCCTGGAAATAGTCACACCTTCGTGTTTGGCAGCTGTAAACTCTGTGGAGATATAAGCCTCCTTTTAGTCTCTTGCTACTATAGCTGGGATGGCTTTTCCTTTGTGCAGGATAAAAATAGCATACGTTTCCTTCAAGAATTTAAGTAATGAAAGTGTGGAGTGTCTACTGCTTTCAGTGGTGCATTCAGCTGAATGGTGCTAATTGTGTAACTAAATAAAATGTCCTGGTTATCAAGAAAAAAAGTATTAAATGGCATAGATAAAATTCTTGATCTGCAAAGTGACCTCTTGTATGTATTTACTCTTTATACATGTGTCTCTTCATTTTTTTAAATGTATTTTTTTTTTTCAAAAACAGGTGCAGCCATGCAAGAAAGCATACGTTTTGCTTCATCAGGAGATGATGTTAAAATATGGGATTTTTCATCTCTAACTGTGGTGGAGCAGTTCAACCCACATACACCCTCACATCCAGTCAGCTCGCTATGTTGGGCCAGCAATAGTATCCTTTACAGTTTCAACCGTAGTTTTGTGGGTGTTCTGCAAAATTTCAGTGAGGTTTTTTTTTTATTAAAGTGTCTGTAAATCACAGGCCTGATGCAGTTTTGAAGTCTCGGATTAAAAGATTTGTATATATTGTGAAGAAAATTTTGTGGTTCTCTGTTGAAGTGGTTTACAAAATAAACTCATGCTGGTTAATGCTTCCGAAGAAGTTTCTCTTTCTTTAGGAGGTTAGCACTTTTTAAGTGATTGTTATATGCTTGAATTGCCTGCCAACTGTAAAGCTTACTCATTTGTTTCTTCAGTAGTTGATTACAATATTCACTTTCAAGGCAGTGCTTAATTTAATGACAAGGTTGAGCAAAGCAATTGCTAGTGTAGTAAAATTCTATGCATAGCATAGAGAGGAAAATTGTAATGAAAGATGTGTTTGTTTTCTTTGAACGGCTACTCGTTGATTCTGATAGTCTTTGATAGTGTACATTTACCTCTTACTCTGTAGGCAGTGGTTTTCTTTGTGCTGTTTGTAGTGTTTAAGAGGAAGCACAAACCTGTTGGCTGTGTAGGAAAACATCCATAGGAAGGTGGTGATTTATACATGAAAACAGATCTGGCCCATTTAGACCCTTCACTTCTGTCTTGAAAGCCTATTATAGGATAATGATATGAAGTGCTATGTGTTAGGTGAATATATGAGAAATTTCATTAAAATAGTGCAGTATCAGGTGAACAGCCTGTATGGCTGTCCTGGGAAAAGGTGGTGATGCCTAATCTTGATGTAAAAGGGCAGAATGCTGGTACATAACAACTACGTCCTGCAAGTTCTGAATGTCTGTCCTCTAAGTCTGCAAATAAGTGGATGAATGAGAAAAAAGTTAAAACAACCAGAATACAAATGGATGTTTTGATTATGGAGAGTAATGGTAGATATAATATTTATATTTGTGTATATGCACACTTACATCTGTTGTTTAGTAAACTTTAGCTATAGACAGTCTGTCTTGTCATGCTTTCTTCTGCCTAGTCTCCTCTTCATCCCCCAAAACTGAAAAAATGAAGTATCTTACTCTATACGCTTTTGAATGTTTGTTACTTTGTTAGAGGTCAAGCATTGGTTTTGCTTCTGCATAATTTTGTAAGCTAAAACGGTCCTTTAAAATAATGTAAGAAATAGCAAGCACTAAATCTGCCTACCAGTTCTTTGGTGTTAAATCCAGCCAGTTAACCTGTATTCTTAAATAAACACGTACAAAATAAAAATGGGCATTGGCCTGAAGACATACAGGATGTGCATCCAAATTATTACTCTGTTCATTTGGTGGGGGTGCAGAGGCAGTTTCCCTGCTCTGTAGTTCCGTATTGAAGGCTTTTTCACTACTTTGAGGTACTTGGTATCATTAAAGGTTCTTTTTGGGTTTTTGTTTTTTCTTCCTTCAGTACGGAGGGAGGCAAATTCACAGGCATTCATTGTACTCTAGAAACTATATGGCGAAGTCACTTAACATCTGTCAGGAACAGGAGTGTTCCTTAAATCCATAGTCTGCTGACAGCATTCCTCTGAACTCTAGTGATGGCTGTGGCCCTTACTAGGGGTGGTAGGAAAACAAAATTGTAGATCAGATAAGCTACCTTAGCAGAAAGAGCTCTTAAATAATATCTGACAGGTAGTTCACCTCTGCTCTCTAAAAGAAATTGCTCTGCCTTGTATTGGGAAGTAAGGGCTGTAGTTAATGCAAGAGCTTCTTAAGGCTATTTTCCAAGCTTTCATTATGTCCCTTCGAGGTACAGTACTTCAGACTGTTTAACCATTCTGTGTTCTGTTCAGTGAAGGAAACTTACTGTTGCTTTTATTGTAATACAATTATGGTCCATAACTTGTGACTAAGATAGATACCTAGCCACTGCTTCTGCTGCTGGTGATAAAATTGTTGTTTCAAGCTGTAAAAGCAAACCTGTTCCACTCTTTGAAATAGCTGAAGGAGTAAGTATGAGTAATGCCGTGTCCTTTTTTTTTTCCCCACTTCAGCTTGTGTAGTTTGCATCATGTCTGTTCTGCATATTGGGGATCAATTTAATTTTAGTGTTGTTAGGGTTAGTGACATGTATGTAAAAACATTTCCATGCATGTAGTTATATGCATATAAAGAGTGGGGGGAGTAGTGCTTCTAAAATAGTTCTACCAGTAAGAAAATACAAATGGGGGGACACTGGCATCTGATGCTGATGGCTTTCTGCTAGGGCAATTTGCCTGTTGAGCCTCAGTGTGATCGCCTGAGGCAGTCAGTGGTTCAAACTTGATCTAATGTGTAGGTGACGGAACAGAGCTCAAGTTTGAACATCTTGAATTGTCGCTATTATGCATGCCTGTGAACTCCATATTAAAAAACATGAGTCTATATAAAAGGTTGTTCTTGGTGTATACATGCACTAGCTTCTGGAAATACGTGAAGTAGGAGAATTTCTGTTCTGGCTGGGGTTTTTTTTGTCCCGTTAAATGGAAGCATGGCACTACAAACTCTTCAGAAAGCTGGACTTAGTTTTAGAAGAGTCTCTTGACTTGGTTACTTGAATGACTTGTTAGTGTTCTAAACCATTCTAATTATTCTCCTTGGATAGCTATTGTAATGCTAATTTGGACTGGAAATTTTCTGAAAAGGTGTTCAAACAGGGCTTTTAGGTTGCTGAAGCAAACACTTTCAAAGGTGGAGTGTTTGTCATGGGCATTTCACTAAATCCGATCTATAACTAATGTAATCATTTCCAATTTTACCATGTCAATAATTACATGGACTTGTTTTTACTTAATTCAGATCTCTGGAACTTAAAAGTGAATTTTCAACATGATAGAACTGAATGTAAGTCTGTCATTAAGATGGACATTTTTTAAAAGTTGGTACTTCAGTGATTATTTTAAAAAGAATCACTTTATAGAATTACGAGGTTTGCTGCTATAATATTCCTTGTAATGTTTAGTGAATGTGAAGTACATGACTTAGACACCTTTTTGATTTTCTTTTAAGGAATTTTTTAGCATTTTCTCTCTAAAACTCAAGACCTGAATAGAAGTCTATGATTGTACTTTACAGAGCTATAATATAAAGGAAAAATGCATATTGACAGAAAATATTTGAGAGTTTATTAATAAATGTATTTAAATTTTAAAATATATTAAGCATATGTCCAAACTGGACTGGATTTTAAATGCCTTTTGATGGGAAATGACTGTAGGGTAGCAATAGTTCTGTCAGTAGTGGGACTGTTTGTGTTAACGAAGATGAAACCACACATCAGTATGCTTCTAAGTACATTTGAATAAATCCCTGATCTTTAACATAGATTTTTTTTTTTCCCCTTCTCAGGCAAAACAGACATGTGTGAGCTTGAATTCTAGTTCTTCTTATATTGTGAGTGGAGGCCTTGATAACACGGTTAATATCTGGGATCTGAAATCCAGAAAGGTTTACCGAAGCCTTAAGGTAAGTTTGTCTCAGAAAGAACTGTAGCTTTCATGACATCCAGTTTTTGATGCCAGCTGTGAAAAATATACCTTCTCTAAGTCATGCATCTGTAGGATCAAGTTCACAGGTAGAAGCTAGCACACATATGTCTTTTCAAGTTTGTGTTCTCTATGTGCTGTAAATAGCAAATTTAATTTAACAAGCCTACTTAACTTGATGTCTTCAATGTACAATTCTATAATAATGTATGTTTATATTTTCAGAACAGGCTTCTGATTTTGAGAATTTGTATTGCTGTTCTCTGATGGGATTTTCTCCAAGGGCAGCATTTCAGATAATTGATGTTTCTGATATGCTAAACAAGAAAACACTTTTGTAATTGTAGAATGCTGTCATAGAACTCATGTTATGCAAAACTGGGACATGGTTGTCCTCTTCTAACTGATCCAGTATGAATTCTCTAGAACCTTGCTATGATGCACAAAACTTACGATGGTCTAGTATATTTCTGTGATGCCTTCAGCAGCTGATTTTGGCCTTGTTTCAAACCACTGTTAAAGAGGCTATAGTACTTTAACTTTGATTTATTCTTTTTCCTTGGGCTTTTAAAGTTACAGTTTGAAACAAAATTGCAAAGTAGCTAATACAGTACTTTAAATATCTCTTTCTCCCTTTTTTGGGCTAGAAGCACTTGATTGTCTTCCCCCATCTATTCAGTAAACACAATATCATCATTGCAAATGCCTATACTGAAAAGCTATTTGGTGTATATATATGTGTTGATACTAAAAGTGACAGAAGGGGAGGTTGGCCACGGTACATCAGATTAACAGAAAGTGTATTCAAATACCACTGGTTTCTGGAAGGCTTTACTTTTGAAATAACATTAGTGACACCTGTGGGAGATATCTCTATGGTTGTCTTATTAAAATATTGTATATAATTACAGCATCATCTTTACTAATTTGTTAAAACAATCTTCTGAAAACAGGCAGTGGTTAAAATATAATGTCTGATCTTCAGTATGTTTTGCTGCTGTTTTCTGGGATATTCAATAATAACTCTTAAATAATCTTTTTAAATGTTACAGGTAATCGGAAAAAAAAAAATCACCAAGCTGAAGATTTTCTGCAAAAGCACAGAATATGATTGTCCTAAATGTCTTTAACCATCTCCCTCTAACCTCCCTCCCTCACAGGATCATAAAGATGAAGTGACGTGTATAACATATAATTGGAATGATTGTTACATTGCTTCTGGATCCTTGAGTGGTGAAATTATTCTACACAGTGTTACCACCAATTTATCAAGTACTCCCTTTGGTTATGACAGCCGTCAGGTAGGCTATCTGTATTAAGTTCCTTTTAGGTATGAGGCTTTAATTCACAATGTTTTGAAATTGAAAGTACATATCAATAACTTTTAACTTTTTTTTTAATGTTTCCTTCTAATTTCTAAGAGCACACTTACAGAAAGAAAAAAAAAAAAGACCGTTGTCTGTATCCTAGTCTTACATAATAGGTAAATTAGGTAAACATTGAAATAGAAATCTCTCAAGTACCTTTACTTATATACATATTACAGCAAGTTTTACTTTGTAGACTCTGGTTCCTCAAGAACAAACTTCTGCACATCTTAGATCTGAACAAAAACCAGTCTGCTTTGCAAACCAAAGCAGTTTAAATGCACTACTCAATCTATAGCGTTGCGAAGAACAAAGATCATGTAGCCTCAGTTCTGACTCACCCAAAGTAATCAGATTTACAGTTGAGCAGAGCAATCTGTAAGTAGGAGCGAATATAAGCCATTATGTGGAAATAATAAATTTATTTAGTCTGGAGCTAAAAATTGCAAAGCTTCTCAAAGAGCAAAGCAGTGGGATTTTATATTACCTACTTAGGTGTTGGGTAATGTTTTTGGTAACTAGTTCGAAGGAAGACTGTGAAGAGACAAACACAAAGCATGTGTACTACTTTACAGGCATTGACAGCAGTTTCCAGTGCAATTCCTTTTTACAGTTTCAAAAAATACGGGGAGAATTAGTGGATATCCCTTCTGCAGTAGTAAATGATTTGTGTTGTCCCATTGTAAGTTCCAGTGTGAGTTGTTAGTGTGAATGTTGTCTTAGGCACAGCTAAGTGTTTGTGTTCTGGACATTCTTTTACTTTTTTACTGAGTCATTTTTACAGAGGTAGGAGCTGCCTAGGGAATGAAGAACCATTGCTTTGGTCCTAAACCTGGCCTTTAATGTTGCAGGGAATACTGATGTTGTGACTTACTCTTTTTTCTGTTACTGCTACAACTTTTTCAGTATAACTTGATGAGGAATTATCTTACAACTTTATAGCATCACAGGAACTGTGGTGTACTGTATGTTGAAAAATCTCCATTAAATTCAAACTATCTCTGCTTTTAGGTTCTGCAGTATCTCTGATCCACCACTGTAGTTTCATACTTAAATTGAAGCAAAATTGTACTTCATACTTGGCTTGGTCTTAAAAATCCATCTATTAGTGCATTTTTCTGATTTGTTTGTTGTGATCTTATGAAAAATGTGGATGTGAGGCAGCAGCTACAGGGATACCTATGGCTGGATTACACAGCTGAGGTAAATATCCAGAGCAGGGACTATGTTGCTAGTTAACTGGAAAATGAAAAATTCTTATGAGTATGATTTGCATCAACCTGTTTGATATATTCAACTCTTTCTACCAAAAAGTGATTAGGAATAAGTGATGCAGTGAACAGCTATTTTGGCAGATGAAATCAAGAGGCCTACTGCAAAGCTGAGTGACCTTTAAGATGGATAAAGATATTTGAAGTGTTAAATCAAAGTAATTGCAAGCACAGAGCTACTAATCACTTTCTGAAGGGTCTATAACATTTTCTAAAGGGGGGCAGTTATTTGATTGCAGCATTAATTTAAAATGGAATTGAGCTATAATTGTGTAATGGGATGGCTACTTGAATGTCCCAGTTTATCGCTTATTTTATATCCTAAAAATTATCTTTGCTCTTATGTCCAAAAATAACTTCATTTTTGGTTTTGGGTTTTAATTAGTACTTGTAGAGAATTGCAGGATTAATTGTACAGTGAAGTAAATATCTGAATACTTATGTAATTCTGTTAAATTTAAAAAGCCTTTACTCAATTTATAGTTTAGAGGCCCAGTTTTCTAAGAGTAAGCTTGAACACAGTATATTGTCCTGCTTAATCCTGGCACTAGCTGGCTTAGTAAGGGTCACCACTCCCTGGTAACCTTTTTTTACAATCGGGAAATGTGAGGTCAAACTAACCTTATAAAATTTGGCTTGTCTCTGTTAGAGCATGATAGAATGTAGTTTCCTTGCCAGTTAATTTCTGATGTTGTATAGACTCTCCAAGTAGTAGAATAGCCCAAGATTGCAGTGCTTTCTGTGACTTTAAACAATTTTCTTTTCATATGAGTATTGGCCTATATTTTATTAATTGATTTTGATTTAGAAACACTTTGGTGCTTTAGTAGAGTTGAGCTTTTGCATGGAGTTGTTTGCAGATCCCGTAATTTGTCTTTGCTGTTGGTATTCATTTAGGCTACCAGATTCTTATGTGCTTGCTGTTGTGAGAATGAATTAAGGTTTGTTTCGAAACACAATGTTTGTTCAAGTCTTTACTGCCTTGTGCTATTCTCCTAGCAACAGGATTTAGTTTAGCTGTTTGAACAGCTGGCTGATTTGTAAAGAAGTGCGATGAGTTCTGGTCACTCCATATAGTGAAATAGCTTTGCAAGTTGAAGACTATCAACTGTGTCTACATCCACCTTCTCACTTACAAGGCTCACTAATTTTTAAAGGAGATCAAGAAACCATGCTATCCTTAAATAAGGTGATCGATGACGCTAGACTACTTTTGGGCTTTTCAGTTGTTTTCCAGCAGTGAAAAACCCTAAGTGTAAGTAGACCCTCTTAGCAACGGACCAACCATTTTCTAAAGTGCACTGTTCCTTGTTTGACTGTCTTACTGTGAAACTTAAGGAAAAAAATTTTCTTTTATTTTCTGCAGAAAATCTACTCCAATCACAGCTAAGGCAACAAGATGTATATGGCTTTTTGTGCTACAATGACTGGTAAAATGTTCCAAAGAGCACTTGATTTTCTCTTTGTGGGTTCAGCACCTTGTGCTAAATGTGTTTCTGGTAGTTCTGTGTGTGCAACATTTCTGGAGATCATCAGGAGTTTTACTTGTTAAGATGTAGTGACACTTCTTGCTTCATATTTGCTCCCCCCGCCCCCAGTCTTGACAGGTTAGTTCCAAAACATGACTCATTCCTAATAATCTTGAAATGGTTCTAGTATTAGTGACTAAAATAATTAGAAAACAGATGACCCCTTTCCACTTCTGTTCAGATATTTACTTAAGTATATTTGAGTTTCACCTAGTGAACAGCTGTGCTGACTTAAAACAAATATCTGAAATGTCCCCCTAGATCCAGTTCAGATAAGATACTTAGGCTTGCCTAGTCATATTTTTCACAGTGAAACATGTCCCACACCTTTGCCATTTGATTTTTGTGGATGAAATTATAATCTGTAAACGTTTTCAGGCTTCTTTTCAGAAAAATACTAATGTTTAACTTATTTCCAATGTCCTTAGCTAATTTTTTTGTTGTAACTAGTAAACCTTGCAGTTAAACCATATGCGTTGTCTGCCCTTTTTAAGCTTGGGATTCCTACTGCTGGCAGTACAAAGGCTGAGGAGCTGTATTGAGGAGATTCAGTTGGAGGCCCTAATGTTCAAAACCTGAGTAACAGAAATCTTGTTTCTAAACCATAACTTAAGGGATAGGAGATGACAAATGAAGTTTAGCTTCTTTGGGAAAAACTTGAAGTGTATTGAAGTTCTGTGTGACTTCATCATGCCAAGTGAAAATCAACTTTTTTTTTTTTTTTTTTTTTAAGGACTGTTTGGTGAAGACTGTAGTGATATGTTAATTTCCTGTCGCTAAGATAGGCAAAAACATTAGAAAGTATAAGAAATAAGATAAAGAAACATACTGAAATTAAAAATAGGTTATAGAATCTGATCTAGAATAGTATGTGTGGCAGCTCAAAACAAGTTAACAGAATTAGGATTGGCAGAGGTACAGAAGGATAGAAGTAAAGAAGAAGTCTGTTAAGGAGAAAAGAAAGGAATGTAAGGAAATAGGAGGACTTCTTAAATGGGATAGGAAATAAGGAAAATATAGCTAAGACTTATTGTAAGTGATGTAGTTTGACCACCTGCATCATAATACTTGATGCTTTCCCATATGAGGCTTGGTTGTCTGCTGTTTCTAACCGTGCTAAGCTTAAAGCTGTTTTTTCACCCACATGTTTCTCAGGTAAAGTTGGAGGTTTTTTGGTTTCTGTTTTTTTTGGAAGAAAACTTCAAATTAAGTGACTCACCTCTGGGAGAAGAAAAGTTTTGTATTGTCAAGCAGCTTTTCTGAAATAAGGTTCTTTCATGCCTCCAGCTGTCTGGGCAAGAGCTTGAAATGTGGCCATGTAATGTACTGTTAGGGGTGCCAATATGATGCGTTTGACTTTCATAACTGTGCACTTTCATAAGTGTGCCTCTTCCTTGAGCCTGATGTAGCAATTGCGCTGTGGCAAGTAGAGTTTGTTACTAACCTAATTCAGTGAAAGTGAGGAGTGAATAAGAGCTTCCTCACACCTCCTTTGTTGTCAGTCTGAAATTAAAACTGTGAAGCTGCTCTGAGGAAACACCAAGAATTCAATGAAAAGTGGGGAACAGAGGTAATATGGGGAAGGTATGCATGTGGAAAAAAATGGAGACCTCGCTTTCCACCTGCAAGATTAGAAAGAAAAATGAGAAAAGAAAATAGCAGACTTAGTAGGATAGCAAGGGAGGTTTGAGGAGAACTATGGGAGAGTAAGCTCGTTGGGCAGCAGGAGGACAGAAGAGGGAGAAAGTGGAACATGAGCAGATGCCACGGCAGTGAGGAAGGTATTTGGAGGTGAAGAAGTGAGAGAACTGTGAAGGAGAGGCATGTCCAGTAGAGTACCATATTAATTACAAATAGTCATCTTCTGTCCTATTTGAATATACAGTTGAAGGTGCCACTTCTTTGTGGAGCAATTAGGCTGCTAGTGAGACATGCAATACAAGTGCTAGAAATCGCGTTGGAGGCACATGAATCAACAAATATCTCAATTAAAATAAAGTTAGAGAGAAATAGGATAAAATCCAGTACATTGTGTTGTGATGTGGTTTATACTAGAATAATAGAATAGCTTTTTGAGAGTGTTTTCAGACAAATAAAATGTAATGGCTCTCAGCTGTCTGGTCTTGAGTAAAGCACTTCATTCAGTGCCTTGTGAGAAAATATTAGAGGATGGAAGCGTACAAAGGAACTGAGGATGTGTAAGAAAGTGTATATAGGAAAGAAGACAGTAGGTGATATTGAAAGAACAGTATGTGTTTGAGTTAACAATAGCTAATCTTGTTTAATATTTTCAGTAATGGTTATGATGTAGGAAGTAGAGCTATGATGAGACACAGTTGGAAAGTATTGCACGTAAGAGAGAAGATTGTGGCAGCATCTAAAAATGATTGAAATAATAGATATGAGAACAACAATGACAGTATAGAAATCAAAGTACCAGACTTGGATCACAGTTGAGGTTCTCTGATAACAAGGCTGCATATTAGACTAGGATTTGAGAATTCTAAAGGGAAAGAAGGACTTGGGCCTCTTCATCCTAAAATGGTAATGAGCAACCAAAACAGGTTGGATCACAAAAAAGAAATTGCAATGTAGGGTATGTCAGGATGAGTATTTACAGTACAAAACAGAGGAAGTGTTACTGTCTTTGTAAAGGCAGAATCAAAATGTTTTGAGGATCATGTAAGATTTTGGTTGTTCGTGTTCAAGAAAGATTCAAACTGGGAGAGTTGCAAAGAGACTATGATGACAATGAAAAAACCAGTCTTAGCAGATGGAGTCTTGCTTATTGTTTATATCAAAATAAAGCCTGAAAGAAGGCTTAGGGAAGTTAGGGAAACAATTGTAAGTGTAAGGGTGTTATTATCATGGGAGTGAATTAGTGCAAATGGGTCATCAATAAAATGAATTTGGAAACTGAGTATTATAATGTAGTATTAGAGCAGAGAGGTTCTGAAAGATCCTCTGAAGCAATACACTGGAAACAAAATACTTACCTGCTTCTGAAACACAATTAAGTTCCTGCATTACGTGGTTCTCTGATAGCAAGATTGCATGTGGAAAGCCAGGCATATCATCCTATTCTGTGGTCTTAGCTCACAGGGTGGCCTCTTCTTCTACAGGACCTACATACTTGCATAACTCTGAAGTCTGTGTGTGTTATCAAATTGGCTTATATCCAAGTACTTAAAATCAATGGAGGGGAATGAAGTTTAACATTCTTGGCAGGAGACCAATCAGTGAAATAATGTAGGTTTTCACTCATTTAATTTTAGATGTGGTGTGGGTTTTTTGATGGCATGATATTTGCTGAAAAATCAAAAATCAATAAACTTTTCCAGAATTTTTTTTCCTTCATTTTGCTGATCAGCTTATATGGTACCTCATATAAAAAAGTCTGTCTTGGGGAGCAAAAATGGCATCGTAATATAAAATTAACATTTTAAAAATTATTACTTTTTAGAGTGGCCAACCATTGTAAACTACGTTACCTTAATATAACATCTGTATTCCTAATGTGTTTGCATGTTTATAAAATAATTTAATATGATGTTTAATAGTATTACAGTTCATTTTTTGTCTGTTTTACAGCCTATTCGACACTTGAAATATTCATCCTTTAAGAAATCCTTGCTGGGCAGTGTTTCCGACAGTGGAAATGTAACTCTGTGGGATGTAAACAGCCAGAACCCATATCATAATTTTGAAAATACTCATAAAGCACCAGCTTCAGAAATCTGCTTTTCTCCAGTCAATAAGCTGCTGCTTGTAACTGTAGGTTTGGATAAAAGAATTATTCTCTATGACACATCAAGTAAAAAGTGAGTATATTAAAGACCTTTGATTTTTATAGGATCTTTATTTGGTTTTTGTAAATTGGAAAAACATGCTTAACTAGAACATGAAATATTTAATTCAGACCATATTCTGAGTGGTGGAAGTGGTTGGCATATTGGTGGTGGATGACCTCTTCTGTAGTTCTTTTTGCTTTTTTTAATTTAAAAACCAAACAACAATACTCTCAAACAAATGACCAAAAAACCCCCAAGGTGTGCAGGAACTAATTGCAGTGCTGTGTGAGTGATGAGCAGAGCAGTTGGCTTCTGTGAGGGGCAGTACAGCCTGTGAGGACCTGTAGCCACCTGAGCTTAGCTTGCCCACTTTTCTAGTTTAAGATACAAGCCATAGCTGTGGTAAGGTGCACAGAGTTGCTGAGACAGTGAGCCTTAAATATGGGATGGTATTGGTTGAAAAAGCAGGAAGCATGGGGCATAGCTGATGGGGCTGTGTAGTAAAAGGGTAGGATGACAAGTTGTTTAATGGGATTTTTGTTGTAGTGTGGGTTATGCTTTCACTCTAGCTGAATAAAAGGAGGAGTCTGGCTCTAGTTTGGAGAAGGTATAGTAGAAGGATGCAAACTAGGACCTGAAGTTCTTCCTAGGGGTGTGGGAAGGTTAGAGTTGATGGACTTCGGAAGCTAGAGGATGTATGTAGTATGATTGCTGCTGGAAATGATGATACTGGTAAATTATTCAGATATCGGAGCTGCTGTTATGAAAGCAATTTGATCCTGTCCTGATGAAATATTTTGGGTTATATGCAGTCTTTAATTTGTTAAGCATGAACTCTTAGTAGAAGCATAATCCAATGGTCGGCAAGATATCTCACTAAAATTACGTGGCACTGGAGAAGTGGAACTACTGACATGTAGTTGAATTATGAAAGTTTTTATATTTTTTTTAGATAGACTGTTCTGAAAAGTTTAACTTTTGAACTCTAAAAGCTTCTTTATTCTGTCCTTTCTCCTGTTCAAAGATTGCTGACAACTATAGTAGCTGACTTTCCTCTGACAACAGTAGACTTCATGCCTGATGGCACTACTTTGGCTATAGGATGTTCCCGGGGAAAAATCTGCCAGTACGACTTAAGACAACTGACATCACCAGTGAAAACAGTTGTTGCTCACAAAGGCTGTGTGAAGTGCATACGTCTGCAGTTCAGTAGCGCTTTTTCCAAGGTAAAAAAATAAAATTATTTTTATTGGCCAATATACAGATTAATGAAAGCAAAGCATAAGTTCTAAAAGAAATGTTAGCATTAAATTTCTCAGCATTATAAGATGCCAACAAAAGTGGTTCATACCAACACAGAAATTATAAATTGCTCAGTCTTAAGTGCCATTTTAGGGGGGAATTCCCCTGACTCATGGACTCAGTGTAGAAATGAGTGAAACTTTTTAGTCTTAAATTTCCTGGTGTGAATATGCTGCCATTGTAGATCAGTTTGTGGCACCTTAGATTCATATAATGGCCCTTCTGCTTAAGGGGAAGACACACAGCTGCCCATCTTGAGGTATTTTGCATGATCTTATATATAGTCTTTTGCAGGCACATATAAATGGTGGAGCAGTTGATTAAATAACAGAGAAGGCTTAAGAGGTTCTTCCAAGACTTAACTAGACTCTACCCTATCCAGAAACCCAGTGTGTCCTTTCAGTGGAGATGTAGAGAACTTTTGAAGTGGACTCTTTACTGCTCTGAGACTTTCTTCTAGCACATTTGCTGCTAGTGGTTGACTATTCCTTTAGATTTTGGAGTCCCTAATAATGTAATCACTTATTTTTTTCCTATGCCTAAACCTAGGATCAAAATTAACTCATGCAATCTCACTCCATTGTTACCTTAAGTTCTGTTGCTATTCTTTTGCAGGTCCACACAGTATTCATACAGTAATACAGATGTTTCCCATGCTTTTTGAAGTCATGTTAAGATACTTCTTTTTGTATTTGTAAAGGCATATCTTCTAGGCAACCTTTGCTACTTGAACTGAATTTTTTTGTGTGTTTTGAAATAGAGATAAAATTGGCTTTTATTTTTACTTTTAGCTGAAGGAATAATAACTTCTCTTAATTTTTTTCTATTTTTTCTTTAGTCTAACCTTACAGGTTCTTCAAATAAACCTGTATCCAAAAGAGTAGAAGGCAAAGCTGGTAGTAATCTTGGAGGAATTCAAAATATTGGCATCAAAAATGTTTCCCCTCAAGCTTCAGCAACAGTTTCATCTCATCTGACATTACCAAATGAGAATAAGGGAGGAGAGATTCTTCTGGAGAAAACAGGTAGTGTTGTCTTCCTGCTCTGAAGGGCATTTGTTTGAAAGAACTGTGTGTACGTGCATGAATATCTGCATCTTCTTTTCCCTGCTCTACTGCATTAGACATAGTATGAGACTGTGGCAATTGAATTGGGTCCTGCTACAAGCTTTAGACATGTGAAGAGTAAAATTCTGGACTTGAAGCAAAAGTATGTATTTAAACTTTAAAGGAGAAAACTCCGTGGTGATATTGTGGGGCTGCCTCTTGCATTGTGACTTGCAGATTATTCTTATGTACTTAATCTATTTTCTGACATTATGTCTGCATGGAATGCAGAGCTAATAGTTTGTATTAATAAAAAGGAGTAACAGGCCTCATCTGAAAGAACCAACCAACCAAAGAAAACGGGGCGGGGGGGGAGGAAACGTTGTCCAAAAAACCAAGCAAGAACTTATTTTTGTATGAGGCATGATTCCAATATCACATGGTAGGAAAGATGTTAAATATAGTTGCAAGTATGATTACTTGTATAACTGTACTTGCTATTTATGCTTCTGAAATTAACAAGTTCTTTATAAGACTTCTGAGCATTATTCTAAAATTCTGCCACTGTGTGAAATGTACTCTTAAAATTTTATTTAATTCAAGAGTTCTGAAAATATGGTCAAATCAGTAACACTGTTAGTCTGATTCTTGAAAAAAAAATCCTGAACCTATTTTGATGCAACAGCACTTTTTCCCTCCCCTTTTTTTTAAATAAGGAGAAATACATTTAGCAACAGTAATTAGGCAGTAAGCTACTGCAGTCCATAGGGATGTGTATTAATGACCTCCCTTGGGTATTCAGTGAAGTACAAATGCTTCCTATATATGCAAGAACTGTTGCTAATCAACGTTACTGAATGGTATGGAAAACTTTATTTCAGTTAAAATATATGGTTTATCATCTTCATTTGAAGATGTAATGCCTGTTACCTCTTAAATAGGACCATGCATAATAAATACATATTTTAAGAAAATTAAGGCTTACCAAGTAAAACATATTTTTCATGAAACTGAATTTTCACTTTAGAAGTAAAGACCTCTGTATACTTCGGAAGATGCAGTCTTTAAACTTGAAAAAGGAAATGTATGTGAGACCACAAACTGCATTTATTCTGTGGAAACTCTTCTAGACCCTGATTAGGGGTTTAATTTTGGAGAAATGCTAATGCTCTTTGCCTAGCTCTTAACTTATATGGGCAAAATTTAGGCAATTTTAGAGTTAGGAGTTCAGTGAAGGCAGAGTAGTTGCTTGCTTACAGTTTTTCTGTAAGCAAAACCAGCTGATCTGGTTTTTCAAACATAATAAATTGTGAAAGTTATTCAGGTGGTTATCTTAACAATTCAATTTGCTTCTCCATGTATTCCTCATCTAAAAACTGCAGTTTGAATCATTACTGGGGTTTTTTTTGGGGGGGGGAGGGAGGGGGGCTTCAGATACACTTCCATTCTTCAGACAACTGTCCCTGCTACCATGCATACAAAAGCTAACTTTTTTCCCCAGATTGGCTCAGGGATGGGGCTTGAGGGTGGAGTGGGGAAGAGTGGGAACAACTTTTGTCTGCAACTGTAACTCTACTCTGATTTCCTAATATTAGAAATAAGCAGAGAATATCCTAATATCAGGTAAGCTTTAAAATAGATGTTTCATAGAATTTCTCTTAGAATTCTTAATGGCCCAAGTGAAGCAGTTTTCTCTTCTTGCAGAATAAATTTAAATTTTGATCATCTTTTCAGTGGAAGGTGCATTCAGTACTTTTAATTTCACCTCATATATCATAAATTTGCTGCATTCTTCATGTAAATATATCTGAAAATGAGTTTATTCTCCAGTTTGACAACTCTCCTTTTTTAAAAAGAGGAAAATAATCCAACTGTATCTTACTTTTGTTAATAAGTATCTTAGCTTTTAGTTATATTCACCTACAATGACAGCCTAAATGAGGAAGTTAAAGTTGACCCTCTCACTGGAATCTGTAGAAGGTTCTGAAGTGCTTGCTGGATTTACCAGGTGTCATACTCGCTGTGAAGATTTTTTTAGGGATAACTGATGTTATTTTTGGAAAATGTCAATTACTGATTGAATATTCTTGTCCTTTTAAGGCTTTCCCCATAGTTGCAGCTTGGATGTGATTCCATCTAAAGAAACAGATCATGGGAAAAGTGCTGATTTAAATAATTTTGATTTGGGTCGAAGTAGTTTAGGAGATGTGTTTTCTCCAGTCAGAGATGGTAAGTTGCTAACACTGAAATTTGTAAATTCATCTGCATATAGCATGGCATTTTGACATTTGTATGTTACTAACTGCTGTACTTGATATTTTAATTTGTCTTTGATTATAAACTTGATGCAATGATATGAATCATAGAATCATAGAATAGATTGGGTTGGAAAAGACCTCCAAGATCATCAAGTCCAACCCCTGATCCAACTCCAATTACTATATCATGGCACTAAGGGCCACGTCCAATCTCTTTTTAAAAACCTCCAGGGATGGTGAATCCACCACCTCTCTGGGTAAGGCTGTTCCAGTGCCTGATTACCCTTTCTGTAAAGATTTTCTTCCTAACATCTAACCTAAACCTCCCTGATGTAGGTTTCATTTAATAAACAATTTCTCTATGTTCTGGTACTTTGTAGATATTATTGCAAGCAAAGTGAATGAAGATCCTCAGGGAAAAGGAGATGGTAAACATACTTTCACTATATTTTTCTTTGTCAGTGGTGGGACTTTGGAGGCCTAGCTAGTTCTTACATGCTAGTTTTGTTGTATCATTGAAAATAAACAAATGATGAAAGCAGAAACTGAAACAAATTAACTTTTCTGGAAATTTTCTAGTGCATTTTGGTGCTAAGACACAACATGGTAACATTACTTTCATAAGGACAGTGACAGCGTAAGTTGGATGTAAGGATTTAGTTTTTGTGGGGTGCATTTTGGGTGATTTTTGTTGTTCTTTATTTGCTTTGTGTGTGTGTGCCGGCATTTTACTTGTGGATTTGATTTGGGGGATGTGTATGTGTTTTCACCTGTGTGTTTCACCCTTCCATTTTCCTGCTTAGGTCTGGATTTTCAGTCCTACCTTTTGGGTTTGGATTTTCTCCCACAGCTCACCACTGCCTTTCCAGTAAAAAGAAACCCAGTGGGCAGTAGTGCACAAGGGAAACAGTCTAACCCATTACATGCACTTGTGGGATCTCCAGTTAAAGAAGAGGACGAACATCCAGAGACTGACACTAAGAAAATAAATCTTGGCAAACAAGAATCTAAAGAAATCTTAAAGCAGGTATACTATACTAATTCTTGTTATGAGTAGTCTTTTTAGAATCATGACAGAGTACTACTACTTGAAGGAAAAATTGTTAATAGCATCCCAGCTGATCTTATTTTGCAAATCTGACACTATTAACACAAATCTTTAAAATATTGTTCAGTTTAAATATACTGGCCTTCAGCAATGCAAGATAAATGTAAGTTTCTCTTTAAATAAGATCGGGTTATAAAAGTTCACACAAAACGAAACTGGGCCAGCCTGAGGAATATTTTGATTTTTCTAGAAAATCAAGAATGGTCACTAGATGGTTAAACCAGTATGATTGTCATTTAGTAGGCCAGTTCCACCCTCCCTTCTTTCCCTGTTCTCCATCTGTCTCCTCTTCCTTCTTGAGCTATCTTTGATAAGCTTCTGTTGAGACTCCTTTTTAATTGCTTTTGAGAAATCTTAGTTTGCTAGGAATTATGCTTATAACTCCATCACAAAATGTTTGACGTAAAAATTGAGGCCCCTGCCTTTTGCACTCCTTTCTGTGTGTGCAAACTTGAGGCAACTTTGAGTATTTTAGCAATCAATTTTTAAGATGCCTTGCTAGAAAATGAGATGCATATATCTGTGAGTAGATTCCTAAAACCAAAAATGTTTGGAAGTGCATTCCTGAAAACATAAAACTTCAAGTGCAATTAGATAGTTGTAACAAGTAGAGTTCGTAATCTTGTTTTTAATTATTATTTTTATTGTTAGCTTTCAAAATCAAGCTCATCAAGCACAGAATCTGTAACTTTAAGTCCTCCACCATCATCTGCTGCTGTAAAGGCTCCTGATACAAATGAGAGACTAGTGAAGAATATTCAGGCCCATCCTGCATATGATCTACCAGTAAATGGTACTACCTCCATAAGTAAGTTGATAATTTTGGCCTACTTTTAGGCATAGTTGACTGTGAACTGATGTGAAACCTGTTAAAATGGCCTTAGCATTAAAGCAGAACATCCCATCTTGATTTTTCTCTAAATCTAGAATGTCTCCAGTTGCCTCTGAAAAGACTCATTCTATAAGTCTAACTTTTTTTTTACTAGGTAATATTTGAGATAAATACTGACAAGCCTCAAGACAAATGAAAAAACCTCTTGTACTCCATCATGTGGATTTTTAAAAAATATATATTTATTTATTTTTAATTGTAAAGGTCCAAAGATAACATCACCTGTCACTGCTGGAATTGCCAGTTCATTGTCAGAAAAAATAGTAGAAACTATTGGGAGTAGCAGACCAAATGCACCTCTGACATCAATTCAAATAAACTTCATTCAGAATATGATACAAGAAACAATGGATGACTTCAGGTACTGGTATTCATGCAGAACTTTTTTTGTTTTCAATGACATGTTTTCTTAGTAAGATGTTTTAGCATCTGCTTTAATGTATTTTCTACTTGCATTAGAAAATGACACCATTAATAACCGTAATCTTGGAAATTTAGGTATGAAACTTTATTTGGAATAGCTCCGATGACTAATTAAACTGATGTCTCTAAGGGTTGTTAATGCATGGCTTTGCTAAAATGTTTTCAGAATGAGTGTTTGAATAGTTCTTGAATGGTAGATTTCTGTGTAACAAAGTCCTTGCTGTTTTCATGGTGCCTTGTGCTGATTTCTTTCCCTCCCTGCTCATCTCATCTCAGCAGGAGAAATTTCTCTTTAAGGTGACCTTGTGGAGAGTTTGATCTAGACAGTTGACTTGTATTGGCTTTGATTGTTGTTAGTGTGGCAGTTGTAGTGTTAGTTACAGGGTAAAATGCTGTGTATTTCTACTGGTAAAGCTTGACATTAAAACAATGTCTGTGCTGTAAGTGATGGTTGGTGTTGGATTACTTTGTGTTTGTGGGTACCTAAACAATGTTCACTTTTTGTAAAAGAAATAAGTCAAGTTAGCATGGATTTAGAGTGGAGTTTGGAGAGAGATGGAGCAGTTGAGAGAGTTGTATCTAGGGGATCACTTCCCACCCCATGTTTAAGATTAAGTAGGTTGACAGAGATGGTGGAGAGGAAAAGGATTGCCAGGCAGGGGAATTATTGCTGTCTTGATAACAAAAAGCAATGCAAAACTAGGGTAGTATGTCTGTGCTGTTCTGTATCTGCCAGCAGAAAAATACATTGAATGTTACTAAATGTCTTTAAATAAGAATACAAGGTAGTAATACTCCCCTGGGACTTTTTGGTGATAATCACGCATCTGATTAAAAACTAACTTTCACATGACTTAAAATGCAGTCTGTGGATTGCAGATGAACTGTGTTCAGGCATGCCAATCTTAAAAAATATGGTTGTTGGTCTTGTACTTCCAGTATCTGAGATGTGGAGCCTCAGAGATTGTGTTTCTCTTCTGATCTAACACTTCCTGGAGCAGCTGGAAGGCTCTGCTGGCCTTTTTCCCAGCTGTAAATTGTGGATACATTCAAACTGAATGTAAAAGATTGTACTGAGGTCAGTAAGAGGGAAGGGAGCCGTCGCAAGCTTCTCATTAATATAAATACCTTTCACCCTCTCGAATCTGTGGAAAGGATTTTTATCGCTCCGGTAAATCCATTCCTCTTTAATGGGGAAAAAACAAGGACCTTAGAGAAGGACCAGGAGGAATGTGTGACTCATTTGCTTCCAAAAAGGTGCCTGTTTCTTGAACTTCCTGTCTTTGTGAGATAACCTACATCTTTGGGTTTCTAAGCTGCCAGCTGGCATCTATGCTTGATACATTTGAAGAAGATGGTTTGCCTCCAATAGGAGTTCTGAAGCACAATAACCTGTAGAAATAGAAAGTGAATATATTCCTTTTTGGGTTTGCTATATGTTTTAGGAAAGGAGAATGAAATAAGATCTGTGTGTGCATCTACTTAAGAGATGCCTCACTTTCTCAGGCCATTGGTACCCATAGCACAGTATTCAGTCTCAGACAATTGCACAGTGATGTGCTGTTCAGGAAGAGCATATGAGCTTCCCTGCTTTTTTGTGATCTGTTCTCCTTGTTCTTCCTCAGCATCTGGAACTGTTGTATTAGTGTTCAGAGGGTATTTGGTTCTTGTACTGTGGAATAGTTGTCTGTGAACTGACAAATTCATGTCAATTTGTGGACAAGACTGCCACTACTTCTATATAGATTAACCCAGAGCATTCTTTAGGCTTGAGGATAATGTATCATTTATCATAGTTGATGTTTTGGTCCCTCTTACAAAAGAGTGATGAAAGTGATATACTAAAAAGTTGTCTCTTCAGTTGCAGATAAATATCTTTCTCTGCGATACTTGTGATCGAGGGTCTGAAAATCAGCTTTGAATGGTAAAAATTAGAGAAGTTTGCAGCTTGCAAGTAAAAAAAAAAAAAACCATGCTAACATCACTTATGTTTTTATATTTCTAAACAGGGAAAATTCTAAATATTTTTTGTATACTGAAAAAATAGTACTTACAAAAGTCAATATCATAACAAAAGTATTCCAGAAAATAAGTGGTAGAGGAGTACATTTTGTAACTTAAAGAGTTTTAGACTTATATTTCACATTGTCATGAAGGTGAGAAGTGTGGAGTTCAAGGTGCTGAGGATTGGAGAGAATTACTGCTTCCTAAATAAAACTAAGCTTGTCCTTTTGAAATTCTTCCCTCAGAGAAGCATGTCATCGAGATATTGTTAATTTGCAAGTGGAGATGATCAAGCAGTTCCATATGCAGCTGGTATGTACAAAGAGCATGGTGGAGAATATATTAAGTTTTCATTAATCAGTAATGCCAAGGCATGCCAACTTACCTCAAAACTGAAAATCACTTTTGCTTATTAAGAGCAAAAAAGGGAGGACTGGATGTGAAGGAGGTGGAAACTATGAATTGGAATCTGTTAAACTGGTTTATGCTTGATAAATAAAGGGAAGGTGCCTATTGGGTAGGTATAATGAATTCTGTATTCCAGGAGTTATAAAAAGACAAAAGAGAAACAACTTCAGCTGTCCTTTGGAAAGGACCAAGAGCTGGGGTAAGGAGGAGATAGCTGGAATTCAAATAGAAAGCTTCACTTATAGGTACCGCATGCATACTGAACTGTGTTCTTTAACTTCACCTTTTTATGAATCTTTGTTCTTTTGATATGCATTAAAAAGACCTTGTCTTGGTCCTGAACATTTTAATTGAACCTGCATTAGTAGATTCTCATCCTGAAGAAGTGCAAAATATCCTTTGATAAAATATTCACTAATGTATTAATGATCAAAATACTGTATGTCGGCATTAAAAAAAAAATCTTATAAAAAGTTATTAAAACCAGTATTATCTAGGTTATTTAATTTTCAAAAGGGATATGAAAATGGATAATCTAAAGCTGGAATAATTAACTTTATAGCTGCTGATTGGGGCTTTCTTCTTTTCTCTAGAATGAAATACACACTTTACTTGAAAGATATTCTGTAAATGAAAGCTTAGTAGCTGAAATTGAGAGACTACGAGAGGAAAATAAAAGACTGAGGACTCACTTCTGAAAGATTTACACTGCTAATTTTATTAGCATGAACTCACTACAGGTGGTGTGTTGCTTATGACAGGTTGTCCATCATCACTGAAGTATTGTATGAAGACCTGCTATTGCTTTGAACATTAATCTTTTCTTCTAAATAAATGGTGTAAGATACTACATTTAATTATAAAATTTGTAACAGATAAACACTTTATGAAGAATGTTTGCATATGCATGCTAACCATCTTGAGATACATTCTTCTAACAGAAAAACTAAAAGGGTAAGTACATTATAAGAGTTTTAGCAGTATTTGAAGTGCCTTTTTTATGAACAAAACCAAACCAGGATGGGTGCCTTTTCTGTAAGAACTTTTTGATATACCCACTTTTCTGTCTGCTTCTTGGTTTTACTGCTGTAAGAAACAATCACTGTAGCTTGCCTTTCAGATACTTTTCTTGGAGAAAAAGGGGAGCGAAGGCTTCTGCATGATGCGGAGCCTTGTTTATAAGGAGCTGGAAAGCACGGTATTTGGTTAACTTTATTCAACTGGCAAGTCTTCTATCCTGATTAAAACTAGAGCCTGAAAATATTCCCAGATTCAGTGCTGAGATCTTTCTTATTGTATTCAGAAGTCTGAAATTTGTGCTTGTCTGCTATGAACTTTGATGTTGCAAATGCTGCTTCAGCTGCACAATGAGACTCTTATTACAACTTTAGCTATGAAACTAGAGTTCTTTTTATTTGCATGTATTTGAATATCATCACACCTTGTCCAATTTTAATGCAGCCTTAGGCTTCAAAATGTAAGTATACTCAGCCATTAATAAGATAACATTGTGTAAATGTGGTCTTTCAGTCTTTGATTCAAGCATCTTTTGTGCCTCCCCTTCCTTTTTATTCATAGTGGACAACACACTTAATATTGAGCAGTTGTGTTGTAGTTTTGAATCTTGTTGGTTTAGCATTATTGTAACCTTTTTGAGATAGCTGCATACCAAATCTAACATAGTATCCTAGTTGTATAATTAACATAACACACATTAAAGATAAATCATTACTTCAGCTGCATAATGGTATCATACTTGTGTGTAAACATTTCTGAAATGAAGCTCAGTATGAAGCCCTGAATCTGCTGAAGTTCATGGGAGTTTTAGCTTGGCCTTTATTTGTGCCAAGAGATTAAATTAAATTAAAACTTCAATTTAAATTAATTTAAGAATTAAATCAAAATTTTAAATTAAATTAACATTTTTTTTCTGAAAGACTTAAAGTGCTATTTAAATTGTCCTGGAGGCTTCTTAATTTTCCCACTAATATTTCATCGTTCCTTCTCACACAATCATTAGAATTCAAACAAGGAAAATCTTAGAACATGGTGTGTTGATTAATTACAACATCTAGTGTTTAAATCCACAATGGCACTCTTCTACTAAATGAGAAAGCCATAATATATAGTGTAACTTATTTTTATATGTTGTAAAACTAAAAAAACCCAAACACACAGTATCTATACCTTTTCCCAATCTTTAATTTTTTTTTTAAGTGACTTCCTTTTTTTTCATGTTGGTTAATGACAAATACAATCTTATAGCAAAATTAGGGTGTTCAAGTAGCCTTTAATATTAGGGACAGAACTTTAAATGTCTGCAGTTCTACCACTTTTATTAGCTTTTAAAAAATGTTCTATATTACATGTAACTTCATGGTAAAAGGAAGTGTTAGTGACTTAACACACAATACAGAGAACTTCTTATAAAAAGAGTTCATAGGATGTGTAAACTTGACACACTGACCACACAGTTCACGCAGACAGTAGTAATAGAAGGCAGCAAAAATATCTTGTGGTTCTTCTACATCCTTTGCAGTGTTAATGAAGTAACCTTGTAAATTTGCATCTCTTGATTTGTTCCCCAAGTGCTTTTGCTCATATACCCAGTTGACAGCAGGGAATTAGACAAGTATTTTGGGTATTTGGCTTGTAGATAATTTGTTTTCTTGACTCAGAACTGTATAACTTTTTTCTTAATTCCCAAGTGGAGGTGATTATAGCAAGAGTGATTAAAAGAAGACATTTTGGCCTTTTCAAAAAAGATTTTTAGGGCTTTTTTCTGTATCTCAGGATTACTCTAGCACAAATGGCTACACATGCTGTGTGGAGACCCACTCTGCCTACCACTGTAGGGGTATATTTTGCCTTGTACACAAATCTGATTTGTATGTTAAAATAAAGCTTGTTTTAACCTTTTGGAAAAAGAAGTGCTGTGGTGACCTACTATCTGAAGAGAATAATCTATATTGTAATTGTTCTACCTCAGCAGGCAAGAGCCTGAGCCAAAGAATATGTAGAGATGTACTTAAAATTCTCCAATAATCTCTCTTCTGCCTTGGTGGCTGCATGTAGACCATCAAATCCTTTCCACACAATGTTCATATTACCTCATGCTTTTGGAGTAAAGAACAGATGTACAGTTCCCCCTTCCAACTTAGAAACTGTTACAGTCATGACAGAGAGATCATGTTCACAGCTAAAAATAATGTTCAAGCAGATGTTTTGGGGGAGGGAGGGGGAAATAATCTTGTCACCTAAGCTCCTGGCGAGTTGGAGATCCTGCATCTTCCTAATAATTATAGGTGTTTTTTTAAATTACCTTTTCTCTCATGCATATATCAGACCTTGTGATGAGAAGTTTATTTGCAGTTTCAAGAAAAAACGATTTTGACTAATTGATTTAGTCTCATAAAAATACAAAATGCCAATGTATCTTTACTTTCTGGCAACAGGCCACCAGTGTCTGATAGACATACAATGCTGTTCATAAACACCACAACAATTATGAATTTGGAAGTTGCTCACTGCCCCTTCTATACCAGGAACAGGACATATGTCCAGGAAGAAAATGCTTTACAGATTGCATTGCTGAACTGGAGCGTTCCTTGCTAGTGGTATCCTGGATGCTAAAACTTAAGATGAAAACCAGTTGCAGATTATATGGATAAAAAGATAACAGATCTCGTACTGCTGTATGCTTAAGACTGACAGGTGACATTTGTCCACCAGCGTAGCTGTGCCTGTGTGATCATTACTGATGCTTGTGAAGAGCTGCACCTTCTTGTCCAGCTCAGTACAGCCATTTTTGTATTGCATCTTGCAGTGCATCCAGGGGATGCTGATTTACAAATTCTCCAATAACAAACTATGGAAAGAATCTCATCCTCTTCATTTAGCATCCTATGGTGGGCACTGGCAAAATAAGATGCTAGGCTAGGGGAACAAGAATAAAAATTCTGAAGTGTTTTCAAGGTAAACTCTGAAATTAGCTGTGAGACTGGATGTCTCTGTGTAGACAAGAAAGTACAGACAATACCTATCTTCTGACACTTCATGTGAACTTCAAAAGTCATTGTAAACACATCCTTTTCACTTCATTTTGGCAGTCCAAACAGTGATACACATTTGTGGGACTAAGCTGTGAGACACATTCAGCTGTGGACAATGTCATATCTAGTCTTTTGTCTTAATCAGTTGCCCATAACACTTTCTGCTAAACAGTCACTTTTACTGAAGTTATGGGCTCATTTGAGATGTTTTCATTTCTTCCTGTAGAAAGATAGCCTATGATTAAAATGCATACTTAACATTTTAGAAATATACTGACAGAAGCTTTTTTGGGGGGCAGTGCATATAAAAAACTGTATTTTCAAGAGTGTCATTATGAGATGGGGGTGTGATGACACAAGAAGCATTATTCTTAGTCTAGAAGTCACCTCAGATTTGAGAGCAAGCTTAGAAACCCCCACTAAATTTGCAGATACCTCCAGGTTGTTCCTTCTTCACCTAGATTTAGTCAACTGGTGACTAAAGCAAAGGGAAGAGAAGTGTAGACTGCTGATACTTATTCCTTAGCCTCATTGGTGCTCAAAACATTCAGACCTAAACTCAAGTGGAAAGTGTCATTCTTTCATCCAATCCAAACAAGCTGTATCAGGACTGGAAGTGTCTGGTAGAGCAACAACTGCCTCTTTTTTTTTTTTCTTTTGGACTGTGCCCATTGTGAAGCAGTTCTGGTCTGCAAATGCTGGTGCAGCATAAACAGTGATGACCATGGTGTTTTGGGGCTCCACTATGTCAGAATTTTTAAGTGTCCGGCTTGGGGCTCTAAAGTTGGCTGATAAGTGTCTTAAGCCATCCACTGTCCATCATGTAATGGCACTAGTAGTTTTCAGAAATTACTTCCCAGCTTTGTATCGCCTGCTGTCCCACATAGTCCTTGGCCTAGCTGTAGAAGCAACTGCCTTTGGAGGGAGTTTGAAACTGTCATTATACTTCTGAGGTTCACATGAAATCTGTTCTAGCTGTAGAAACTTCTGTTATTCTTACTAGCAGAATATTCTTCTCCCTTAGTTCTAACAGGTATGAGTTGCAGCACAAGGTTGTGCTCTGGGCTCTACATCTCTCCTGAATTCATCATTTGTCCTCTTATTCTATGTAAAAATACCAAGACTTGTGTAATTGAAAGTTATTATGGTTCCCATCCAATTTCTTGTGCTACAAAGTTCTGTCTCTATATGGAAATTACTGAGAGACAATGCTTTTTCAGCCCATTATTTTGCAAGAATAAGAGTTCGGGTTTATTCTTTTCATCCGTACTTGTCCTCTGAGTAGTGGAGAAGGAAAGAAATTACATGGAGAGAAGGACACATAAGAAAAGAACATAATTTCCTATACAGGTTATTTACATATGAGTGGCTTTACAAGTTCTAAAAATGCCTACTAGCTAATACAGGGCAAAAGTGTTTCAGAATTCATTTTTTAAAATTAGTGCTATAAATAAATATTAGTGCTCAGTTGCATTACTGTAGCACTACTTAGAATGGCTGAATACCCAGAGGCGTCCAAGCTGGAGATATTTTTTTATAAGTACCAAGTTGCAGAAGGTGAGCTGAGTTTTCTGAATAGCGAGTTCTTCATGTTTTTGTAAGGTCGTAGATTGGCCAATCAAAAATAGGGCAAACCAACCCAATTAATAATTTTTTGAAAGTTTTGGGCTAAGTACATTGA